ATCGCCTCCCAAGACACAACGCCCTCATTATTTTTTTGGGTCTCTTACCGCCCCCCTTTTTAGGCCTGCAGCGCCCACTTTGGGAAAGGCTGATCTGAGCCATAAAAAAAAAACTATTTTATAAAACTTCACCACCAAATCTGAGTATCAACTGAATTTTCATAAGATTCGTGCTTAAGAAATTGACTGTCGGCTTTCGGACACGTTTCCAATTATTTATTTGCAAACGATCGCATGCAGCGGCTACTGCGAAATGCAACGTGTCAAATTCTTTAAGGCTTTTTTTTTTCATAACCTTGCAATTTCTAACATAAAACTAGTTGTGTAATAGATAGCGAGGGGTTTATGCGTTTATTTGTAGAAATGACGTAATCGCGAATAAAAAGTCCACTTAGGTACCCGTCCGGGCATAGTCGTAATAGTTCCCTAGGGTACGGTACCCGCCCGGGCATAGCCGTAGGGTACCGATTCGCTTCGTGTAGTCGGTGTGGTGGAGCTCGATGGGGTTTAGTCGGTAGTCGTTCTGCGGGGCAAGTGCTTCGTGCGCCTTTTTCAAGGCGTAGTCTCCTGTGAGAAATTGGGGGAGGTGAAGGACCTCGGCCCTTCTCTTCTCCCCTTCTTCCTCTCAGGAGGCAACGGAGTCCGACATAACCCGGTCCGTTACCCCCCTCGACCGGGTATCCGTAAATGGATTCCCCAGCGTTAAAAAAAAAAGTACCTATTCGCTGTAGGTAAGGAAAAATGTACAAGTCACAGGGATGAGCACACAAAGATGTCAGTTGAAAATTGTCATGTCCCAAACAGATTTAAAACCTATAAACATGTATCACAAAAAGCACACTGAATCGGTACCGTCACTGTGTCGTAATATTGGATCAAAGAAATAAAAATACAGGTATATAAAATATTGAACAATATTTTAGAAGCCTCAGCCATTTTATGTTGCATTCTTGGACATGGAAAAGGCATTTGACCGTGTGCCAAGACTTATACGAACTGAGCCTTCGCAAGAAATATGTACCCGAACATTATGTTAACGTCATAGTTGACATGTACAAGGATGCGAGGTCAATGGCACGAGCAGTAGGGAGTCAGATAAAACCAATAGCAGTTGCAGAAGGAAGGTTGTCAAGGTTCAGTACTGAGTCCCTTCCTGTCTAGCATGGTTTTAGAATTACTGAGGTGGCGAGGTCCTTAGACTCGTGGACTATCATCTATGCAGACGACGTTGCTATCTGCACCTTTTTTTTTCCTACCTAAGCTGATAGACTTGAGAGGCCTGGAGAGCCATCAGACTATGTATGTTTGAAATATCTTAAATCGACTTCTGTTTTGGCTCTATAAATATTTATGGATCAAACATATAATATGTAAGTCTGTACATAGTTGTGTGACCAAAATTGTTCAGTTCAATATTCTTCTATTTCTTGTAAAGCGATTTTCTTTCAAAATGTCAATATAAAACAAAAGAGTAAATCTCTCTCTCTCTTCTTCAACTCATGTGCATCCAATGCTCAGTGAAGGTCTCTTCATATGCACTCCTTTTTTTTTATTTTTTGCCTGACTTGCATACATTACATACCTACATTAAATGAGTCTAAATTTCGTTTTGTTACTTTTAATAATTATAAGTTAAATATTGTATCCATAGTGAAAGCTTGCATATGTCACGACAGTGGAATAGCATAGTTCATTAACTATTAAACCACAAAAATTGTAAAAGTATTGTGCATTTCATAATGACTATTTTTTTAAATCATTATCTAATGTACTATAATAGGTTTTTAACGACTCAAAATCTAAGGTAATATTTTATTTTAAAAGTTTGGAAACTGACCGCAAACAGAAAAAAAAACGTATGAGATATAATTTACAGTGCTCATTACGAGCAGTCTGCGAACACTGATCAGTATAAGTTTTATTCACATTTTTAGCCGGATTTCTTACATTCGGTGATAGACTGATAACTCGTTTGAAGCAAGCCATCAGTAACAATAAAACGCTATAGATGTAATATTGTATATTGTTTTCTTTAAGTAATGATTGAAATAGTATAATCAACACCACAGATATAATATATATTGTTTTTTAAATAAATGATTTCGTTTCTAACAGACGCAATTAACGTAACAATGATTAAGTTAATTACAGATTTAAAAAACCGGCTCATAGTCAAGTCTCAAGAAAAGTATAAACTATACTTGAGACCTTAGAACTTATATCTCAAGGTGGGTGGCGCATTTATGTTATAGATGTCTATGGGCTCCAGTAACCACTTAACACCAGGTGGGCTGTGAGCTCGTCTACCCATCTAAGCAATAAAAAACAAAAAAAAAGTTTATCCAAAACAAAATCATAGTCACCGCGCTTCCCATCGGTATAACAATGTAAACACAGTTTCTTACTGCACATTCGTCCTTCATCGCTCTGGTTGCTTCGCCACGGAAAACGGCTATTGTTTAATAATTTTGACCCGTCCTAAGTATTACTTGCTGCGCAGTGGTGTAATACCTTATTGTAGATTTCGGATCTACATCTACGGTTATAACTGATGCGTTGAAATTTTTGGATTAACAATATAACTCGCATGCTTGTTACAATAATAATAATTTACAATTCGATATCCAGAAAGATCGGATGTTAGCAGAAAGGACATACTTTTTAAGCTATTGCATAGCTTTTATCGCGGGTTTTGAGTGTGGCGACCGAGTCTAGGAATTCCGTAACGAAAATAAATCCTAACACCCCCACTCCGCCTACCATGTAGCTCGCGTTCAACACATTCACACGTTGCGCTTATGTAGAAATTGTGAATAAGCTCGCGGCGTGACGTCTCACTGCATGTTCATCATGAAAAATCTGCCCATCTCTCTCTCGCGCGGTCTAACTTATGATTGTGAAGGGGACAGTTAGTGTTTTGTTTTTAATGTGTTTTATAAATATAGCGTGGTCTTATTTTATTATTGTTTAAATACTATTGTCTAATTATAATTGCAGAAGTGATAAAAAATGCTATGCAATAGCTTTACCACCACAGTCCCAGAGCGCCACACGTGTTTTTTTTTATTTTTTTTATTTGGAAAACTAACATTACAATATTAAGAGTCAAAGAAAATTAATAGTCCACATGTAAGAGGATATTAAAGACAGATAAACAAAAACCAAACAAGTTTCTAAAGTATCTACCATTAACACAGCACATATGCGTATATGACAAATGTACCTTAACAATTTTTAAATAATCACTAAAAGTTTATGAGAAGGTAAGACTTAAGCCATAAACAATTTTCAAACGCTTCCGAAATATTCCAAGTTTCTTTTTTTTACGACATCTCTTTAACTATCTTACGTAATTGTGGCAATTACATATCAAAAAGTACTTACTTACACTAATTTCAGTCAAGTTTGGTAAGTCTTACATCACGTACTGACAAAGTATGAAGTTATTAAAACGATACTTAGATAAACATATTAACGTTATTTCCGCTTTTAGAATATCTTATAGTTGAGTATGTTGACAGTTTTATTACCTACTTCAGTATGTTGATGGCATACAAAAGGTACGGCGTTTTGTGGACCCATCGTATCGGTAAATAGAGTTGCCAGACGTCCCGGATTCCCGGGTCGTCCGGTAATTTAAGCTTAGCTTAAAATGTCACGGCGGGACTGACTATATCGAACCGTACGATTATAATTGATAAAAATAAGTTAAAACTAACTTGGCCATCAAAAAAAAAAAATTAAGAATGTCACTATATAATTTTGTTTTTTATTTGTCCCGAGTAAAAAACTAAATTCCCGTATTTTTTTGTCTAGTTAAGCATATGCCCCTTATGGGCTGAAAACAAATCTGGCAACCCAATCAGTAAATAACATCAATCTGGCTGTTACTACCAAGAACCAAGCACGCATTACTCATTGTAAGATTTTAGGCATAGCATAATTGACCTTGGACTCACTGGTGACGGCTTAACTTGTCTTGGCTACGCCGTAGCTATATGAAATTTGATTGGTTAGCTTGTTGTAATGTAGTAATAAATAATACGTTAAGGTCTGTAATTATAGCAAGATAACAAAAAACAAAAACAGAACCAAAATTAAATTCCATTGAACAAGGAAGAATCCTTTTATTTACTCCGTGCAATTAAATACCAGTGTGGAAGCCTCTTGTCATTAAAACGTAACCCTGAACTTTACAGAGATGGTTATAAGGTAAGGCAATGGCCGTCGTATCAAAATAGCGTACGATTATTACCACAACCAGTTCTCCCACTGGTAAACAACCACGAATTCTTTGCTAGGGTTAAGACAAATTAGTAGGAGTCGTAAATATTTGTGTCCCTGTAAATGTTCTTACTTATGAACATGAATAATGATTGAGGTTAGAAAACTATTTTATTCTATTTAAAAAAAAACGTAGTGATTGTTACGTGTGTGTAAGTCAAATATATTAATCAGGCCCTTAGGTGCAAAGTCGTTGTGGTCTAAAGGATAAGACGTCCGGTGCATTCGTATCGAGCGATGCACCGGTGTTCGAATCCCGCAAGCGGGTACTAATTTTTCTAATGAAATACGTACTTAACAAATGTTCACGATTGACTTCCACGGTGAAGAAATAACATCGTGTAACAAAAAATCAAACCCGCAAAATTAGAATTTGCGTAATTACTGGTGGTAGGACCTCTAGTGAGTTCGCACCGGTAGGTACCACCACCCCACATATTCCTGCCATGAAGCTGTAATGCGTTTCAGCTAGAAGGGTGGGGCAGCCGTTTTAATGTCAAAACTGAGACCTTAGAACTCGTGTCTCGAGGTGGGACGTTGTAGATGTCTATGGGCTCCGGTTGCCACTTAACACCAGGCGGGCCGTGAGTTCGTCCAACAACCTAAGCTATAAAAAATATAGGTGCACGGACCACCTTACGGCAGAGTATTAGCATGATTATTGACCTGTCAGTTTCCAGAACACAAAATACTCATTGACAATTTTTTGCCGACAGACATTTGGATTGGATGAACCTACTATCTTATGATTACCACTCCGCTTTCGAGCCGGCGGTCAACCACCACGCACCCCTCTACCCTCTCGAGGAGCCAAACGAATACAGCGTCGACACAGAACTTAACATTGTAAGTGGTCATTTAGTTACTTTTACCTTTTAAGTATGTGCAGATCTCTTTCCTAATTTAGCCGAAAGAATGTCATTGCTAAACATAGTTTTAAAAGATTCGTCATCATGACCAGCCCTTGCTGTGTGGCTGAAGATATGTTTTAGTGATATTAACAGAAAAGCGCAGTGTTGATTGATAGGTATCCCATATGGTGGATGAGCAAACTGATGCAGAGATCCCTCGACCTAACTCTGTGCTTGTCTATACTAAGGAATTTATAGTAGCTCTCTGGTTAATGGCATTATAGGCATTGAATTAACATTGAATATTGTTTTTCCCGATATCCATATTAATTTGGTAAAGTTTAAATACTAATACTAAAGAAGCCTTTATTAACAACCTTAATTCATATTCATTCATTCACCCACTAACGAAATTCGCAGGCCAAGTGGAAGAGCTCAAAAATGTAACCGAAGAAGCTATCGATTATTTCACAAACTGTAAATTTAAATTATAACCACGCAGTGTAAACGAATGCCATACGATAAATAAAATTCATATTTAGGTACATACTATTTTTTTTTCTTTTCATTTGACATCGGCTAAGATTGTTTTGCTTTCGCATAGGCCTCCCCCAAATCCTGCCATAAGTTCCGGTCGTGGCATTTCCTGGTATACTGGTGATTTGTAATTCTACGAGTCGGTACTATTGTTATTTTGGAATACCTAAGACATTGTCACTGGGTCTTAAGGTGGTTTTTATTGCTTAGACAGGCGAATGAGCTCATGGCCCACTTGGGTTTAAATGCTTACAGAACCCACAAACATCAACACCATAAAATCCACCACCTATCTGGAGATGTGAGTTCTAAGTCTGCGGTCTATAGTACAACGTCTGCCCTACCCTGCAAACCGTAACTGAAGACCCGTGCTGGTACGCAAGACACTCTACCCCCAGTACAATGTTGTTTCGCGAGCCACACCAGATAACAAAGACCGATTTCGCTAACATAACACAATGCTAATTTAACCACAGGACTACACGATAAAATTCTACTTGGAAAACGGAGCAGACCGCAATAAGCTTGTGCTCGGTATCCCCACTTACGGACGTTCGTACACGCTGTTCAACACTGAAGCTGTGGAAATAGGCTCGCCTGCAGACGGTCCCGGGGAACAAGGGGACGCTACAAGAGAAAAGGGCTATTTGGCTTATTACGAGGTTAGTGCATTTGTATGGTCACTATCTACTACCGGCTTTGTAACCAAGCGAGTTGCGGTTTTAAGTCCCATTCAAAATGGAAAAATGATAATTTGTTCATGTTTTTTTTAGTTAATTTAGAGTGGAAGGAAACACAAAGTTTACAAGCTAAAGGAATTTCGGGACAAAACGTAAATTAGATTTAGTTAGTTAGATTTGGTTTCTTAATAATATCAGTTCAATTTATGCCGACATGTAAGACTTAAATTCATCAGACGCATCTTGCTACCAAAATATCGTCTTGCTCAGATCTGCGAAGCTCTGAAACCTAAAAGCAAGAAACGCGCCATCGACTCCGACGAAGAATATTCTGAAGAAGAGGAGGAGCAGGAAGACGAAGAATGGACGGTGATGCATCCGAACCCTAACGCTATGGGACCTATAGCCTTCAAGGGGAACCAATGGGTCGGCTATGATGACATAGATATTGTTAGGAAGAAGGCGGAATATGTGGCTGAAAATGGTCTTGGAGGTAAGATACAAATGTAGTAGCTCGTATTCTAATGTGTAAACATTTTTGAGTGACATCCCTATGCCGAGCCCTAAAACCTCCAATAATTATTTATAACTGGCAAAACCAAAGTCGTACTCCGCTGTAATGATTTTTTTATCTTTATTGCTTAGATTAATGGATGAGCTCACAGCCCACCTGGTGTTAAGTGGTTACTGGAGCCCATAGACATCTACAACGTAAATGCGCCACCCACCCCAATGAGCTTATTAGAAACACAATCATATAAGGGGGTTACCGTTAAATTGGATTCTAGAAATGTTTATACTTCATGTTTTTTTCCAATTAACAGGTATAATGTTCTGGTCCATCGACAACGACGACTTCAGGGGGACATGTCACAGTAAACCGTACCCTCTAATCGAAGCCGCTAAAGAAGCGTACATACAGAAACTTGAGTGAGTAGTTTATATATGTGGTTCTCCTCCTTGGTAATCCTTGATAATCCATAATGCTGAGGTACGTGGCCTCAAGAGCCTTTCTTGGGAAAATAGACATGGTGGGGTCCAACGTCTTTTCACGGCAGTGCTTTTGGAAGGGATTTAGTTTGTCGAGGCCGCTGAAGCCTTATATGAGTCCGGCTAATTAACCGCCGCCTGACATTCAAGGTCGAACTCCAACTCAACCTTCCGCTTTTCTCATCCGGGCTTGGGACCGGTATTGGCAGAGGTAATTAAAGAGTTAAATTTATGTGATATTAAAAAAAAACCACTTTGCCCGAGATTTAAGTGAGGAAGCAAAGAGATGTGTAAAACGCCTAGATCAAAACAATTCACATTCGGTATTTATAGTCGATATTATTCATAGCTCTCTGTCGATATATTTACGCTCTATTCCTTATCCCTTAGGCAACGAATCCAATGTTAATGTTTCCGTTGTAATTGTGTGTCAGGACAAATCTATGTCTCAAACGAATGAAGTTACATCTATACTAATATTATAAAGAGGAAAGATTTGTTTGTTTGTTTGTTTCGAATAGGCTCCGAAACTACTGGACCGATTTGAAAAATTCTTTTTCCATTAGAAGCCGACATTGTCCCTGATGAACATAGGCTACTTTTTTTTTTATTTTTATTTTTTGGTTTCATGTGTGTTTTAATGTTTCCGAAGCGAAGCGAGGGCGGGTCGCTAGTATAATATATGGAGCTTAAAAAATTAAGAAATCCAACCCTCAAACAAGAAACTGAACCAATAATTAATTTCATCTTTCTTTTTATCCTGATGATCAGGACATTAAGGCGTACGTTTAGGTTATAAGAAACATATGAGCACACTAAGAATAAGAACAAAAACCTTTTTTTTGTCTTTCAAGCGTGTGCAAATTTTCAATTTAATGCGATGTTTGAAGTTATTGAGAATAACATCCAAAGATTCAATTTCTTAAAAATAAACCTATATACCAAGTTAATAAAGGCGTATCAAAAACGATTTTCATCAGTTCTTCTTGCTCTTCTATCTAGATCATCGGACAATGTCATCATAACAGAGAAGCCGAGTTCAGTGAGCCGCACCAGCAACAGGAGGAAGAACCGACCGAAGACCATCAAAACCACCACCACGACTACCACTACCACAGAGAAACCCACCACAACTAGGTTAGTACAACTAATTATGTTTTAATTTTCATCAGGATGGTTAACGGATTTTTGTATTACCCTGTATCATAACATCAAGGAAGGTTTTTCTTTTTTCATTACTGTGTGACTTGTAGAAGGAACTGACGTGCCCAGATGAGGTTTGGCCCATTCCGAGGTGACACACAAACTGTGTCTATGTGTGCCTGTTTGTGAACCACACACGTGTGATTAACATAAAAGTCTGCACACGTATTAAGGACCATAGGAACGTTGGTATAACTGATGTGAATGTTGTAACTGATGGTAGGACAAATTGTGGGCCCGCACGTGTGGGTACCCTGTGTATCCTTGTACTTCCTGCGTCTACCTCGAAGCACTCATACCGTTATTGCGATTTCGAACTTAATACCCCAAGAGAGTGGTTAAATTTGTATAGCGGTGTCTATAGCCTTGTCGCCTTCTATCTGCATTGAAAAACTGACAATGAGTCCCCACCATTAGTAATTTAAATATATTTTTTTATTTAAATCCAATTATGTTTGTAATTTTCGAGGGAGGCCTGTGTCCAGTTATAGACGTCTATGGGCTGATGATGATGATGGTGATGTTTACAATTTCTAGGAGCAACAAACGCAAGAGCTCCAGCACGACGCCCGCGTGGGGTCTCGTCACGCCGTCCCCCCCGACCACCCCCGACCCTGGTTCAGGTACAGACAGACAATATACACATAGTAAAAGCTTTACAGCTAATTCACCCTGAATTACCTCGCTGACGAGCAGTCGAGAAAGTGAGGGTTGGTTCTGTGGCTACATCGTTGAGACTTCAGAGACTGTTTCTTCGTCGGACCTTTTCAAGATAACTTTTTGTCGCTACATCACTAATATCCTTGCTCAAAAACTAGGGAAAACTTACCACGCAAGTTACCCTCATTACTGGTGGTAAGACGACTTGTGAGTCCGCACGGTACAGTACCACCACCCTGCCTATTTCTGCTGTGAAGCAGTAATGCGTTTCGGTTTGAAGGGTGAGGCAGCCGTTGTACTGTTAAAAGTGAGACCTTACAACTCATGTCTCAAGGTGACTGGCGGCATTTAGTAGTTGTAGATGTCTATGGGCTCTGATAACCACTTAAAGCTCATCCACCCAACTAAGCAATGAAAAAGAAATCCTCTAATATACCCATTTTCAAAATTTAACCTTTTTAGAACTGCAACAATACCCGAATTCGCTTCTAACGTCATGATACTTTCAGACTTCAAGTGCGTTGATGAAGGCTTCTTCCCTCACCCTCGCGACTGCAAGAAGTACTTCTGGTGCCTCGACTCCGGACCCTCGGACCTTGGCATCGTCGCTCATCAGTTCACGTGTCCATCAGGTATTATTATTTACCTTTTAATTACAAGCCTAAAAAAAACGAAGTTCTAAGTGAAGTCGTCGTGGCCTAACGGATAAGACGTACGGTGCATTCGTGTTGAGCGATGCACCGGTGTTCGAATCCCGCAGGCGGGTACCAATTTTTCTAATGAAATACGTACTCAACAAATGTTCACGATTGATTTCCACGGTGAAGGAATATAACATCGTGTAATAAAAATGAAACCCGCAAAATTATAATTTGCGTAATTACTGGTGGTAGGACCTCTTGTGAGTCCGCACGGGAACTTATATCTCAAGGTGAGTGGCGCATTTACGTTGTAGATGTCCATGGGCTCCAGTAACCACTTAACACTAGGTGGGCTGTGAGCTCGTCCAGCCATCTAAGCAATAAAAAAAAAATAAAAAAAATGAACGATTTTGTATAATGTCTGAAAGGAAAATATTTCGAGTAAAGAAATTTATGTAATGTAACGACTTATGTAATTAGGGTTTTTTTTTTTGTATTTCCTGAACATCCTCTAGTCTGGTATTCCATCAAGCCATTAGCTCGTTCTGTCCATACTCAGTTGAAGAAAAATTCAAGTCCTTTTTCTTGTTCCCAGGACTGTACTTTAACAAAGCGGCCGATTCGTGTGACTTCGCCCGGAACGTCCTCTGCAAGACCGCCACCACCACGAAGGCCCCCACCACCAGGGCTCCCACTACCAAGCCTCCCACGACAAAGACCACCGTCACCACGACGACCACCACCACTACCAGGAAACCAATTAAGATTAGCACGAGGAACTCCCTGCTGTTCCGAACTACCACCACCACAACCCCGGCGCCTGAACCTGAGGTAATTTTTTTAATTCACCCAAGTTCAGGATACTGAGAGACAGTTCCAGCAGGGCCTTGCTTCTGATCCAATGTGCAGGTGTGCGGAGGTGGGGCTGCTCATACTGTGTGACTGTACTTTTATACTGCACTACTGTACTTTTATACTATACGACTGTTTTGTACGACTGTACGTGACAAAGAAACTCAGTCCTCTTAGAACACACTATCTAACCTGAGGACATGAAGAAAATTTGTCCAAGGAATTGGTTTAGTTTATACCGGTTTTGCGATCTAACACTCTGAGGTGCTACTGTGGGTGTCCGGGGGTCGGTAGTGGTTGGGTCTGGGGTCCGATCGCCCCCATCGAGCAGCCTGTATATAAATAGGCAAAGACAAAACAGCATCATTGTCTCCTCTGTTTGTTAACCGATTTTGTTTTCCTATTTTGCTTAGTGTTTTAGCGGTGTTTAGTGTTGATGCCAATGAACTTTGATAACCAGCTACTATCACCGTTCGTTTATTAAGGCAATAAAAAGATAGCTATAAAAAAAATACCACTTTTCACAAAAAGCTTCCAATAACAACCAATTCTAATTCGGAATATTTCAAATTTGCGTAATTATCAACGAAGCGAGCATTGAGAGATTGGACTGTGGGTAGGAACACCATAGTTCTGCCTATTTTTGCCAGACGTTACTGAAACGTTATTGTGTTGTGACCTGAAAGGGAGACAAGCAGGGATAAAGGCGAGCTTATAAGCAAGTTCGACCATAAAGCTCTAAATTTTGACCATTTTGCCTGCGTCTTCTTTTAAGACGTACTGTTAGCTCGGTATATTCATATGTATGTATGTTTGTTTGTTCGTAACGGAATCTTTGAACGTAATTTTCACTGACTTCCAGAGGTCCGATTAACTTAAAATCTTGTGCACGTATCAAGGACAAATGACAATATAGTATTTTTAAAAGTTCGCTGTAATATCCTGGATCAGTATCAACAGGATAGAAAATAAAAAGTGAAATTCTTTCAGAGCGATGAGGAATACCAAGATGAAGTCTCAGAAGACACGTTCGATGACGCCGAGGATCCGAAAGTCATCAAGGAACTTATTGACCTCATCAAGAAAGTCGGTGAGTGTCCGCACTGCTAACCCGTGTGCTCATCCGAAAGAGATGTAAGGCAAATGTACAAAATTAACACGATCATGGTCATCACCCACAGACCTTATTCATGGTTGATCACAGAACAACTATCACGTATAATAAGAGGCTATTACAGCAATGCCAGGACGGGTAGGTGAGCTCACGGGCTCAACCTCAGAGAATTTGTTAACACTAGCCCTAGCAAGAGCCGTGTTTCGCAGAATCTACCACCAGATCGGAATCGCGACACATTGAGAAGATCTGGCGAGAAATTCAGTGGGTTCACGTGATTGTTGAACCGGAAACACCTACTAAAATCAAATTGCCATAAAGCGATATATTCATAAATTCCTCATAAAGCGACTTCACGTTTCAATTTCAAAATCCCAACTTTTTCTAGGTTCGTAATGTTCTTTCTCAGCCGCATGGCGATTTTTTGGCGTCAACATCCGAAATTCGATTCTTCCTATAATCTATTCAGTTCTTACAAGGCTACAAATTAATATACAAATAAAGGTCAATTGTGAACTCGCTTCATACTTTGCTGAGAGGGAAACTCTGACAACTTTTTACAAGTTCGTTCGACTTCATGCGTTCATGCCTTTAATTAAAACAGTTGAATAGGTATATATTTTTTTGTTTTTATTATTATTGCTTAAGTGTGTGGACGAGGTCACGGCCCACCTAATGCTACGTAATTACCGGAGCCCATAGGCATCTACAACGTAAATGCTGCCACCTACCTTGAGGTATGAGTTCTAAGGTCTCAGTTTTAACAGAACGACGGCTCCACCCTTCAAACCGAAACGCATTACTGCTTCACGGCAGAAATAAGCAGGGTAGTGGTACTTATCTTTTTTTTTATGATTGAGGGTTTACTGGTGGCCCAGAGGCCTTTCCAGTTTCACAAGGACAGGTAGGCGGGCAAGAGCTCAGCCAGAAGCGGTATACTTACCCGTTCGGACTCACAAGATGTCCTACCACCAGTATATACCACTAAATTTAAAATAATTTAAAATTATTCCTGTTCATATATCCAGGTGGCATTGAACAGCTGGAGAAACAATTGCACCTGTCAGAAGCGTCGGCCAGCACCGACGGCGCGAGCACCACCACTCCCTCATCTTTCAACAAGAAGCTTTACCAGAAAGTTCTGGAGAGAACCCGTGGGAAGAATAAGTTAGTTAAATTATAGTAGTTAGCACAATATTCACTACACCGTCGCTGTCAAACCAAAATCTGCTATGTGCACTTTTTGAGATTTTTACTTTTTGACATTTTCGTATAGTTCACAGCCCTATCCACCGTATAAAAAAAACTGTTATGTGTCTATAGCTTTAATATTTATTTATCTATAGCTTTCATTTGATATAGTTCTTAAAAATTCACATTCTTATAAAATTTTAAACGAAAATGTTTTTACTCGTTAACTAATTCAAAATAGAGTTTTTGCACATAGCAGATTTTAGTTTGACAGCGACGGTACACTGAATATTGTGATAACTACCGTAATTTTATGGAAAATACAGACAAACCTTCGGAAATAGTACAAGGACAACAGAAACAAGCGATATCAAACCTTAAATGTTTGGACAATTAGATCCAAATTCGAATAATTAGTTTTAAGATATGTTTTCAAACTCATTTCCACATTGTATTTATTGTCAGGTACAGCCAAAACAGCGTCTTCGAGAACAATCGGAGAGCGCCGCAGAGTCAGGGCGGGGAGCTCGCCGCCGACGGAGACCAACTGCCGCGGAAGGACCGACCACAGTGAGTTATTTTTTTTTATTGCTTAGATGGGTGAACGAGCTCACAGCCCACCTGGTGTTAAGTGGTTACTGGAACCCATAGACATCTACAACGTAAATGCGCCACCCACGTTGAGATATCAGTTCTAAGATCTCAGTATAGTTACAACGGCTGCCCCGCCCTTCAAACCGAAACCCATTACTGCTTCACGGCAGAAATAGGCAGGGCGGTGGTACCTACCCGTACGGGCTCACAAGAGGTCCTACCACCAGTAAAAACGGACGTACACCCATAAATGGAATAAAAAAATTAAAAAGGGATTTTGTCATGGGTTCAATCAAAAGTCTTTCTTTGCCACCTGTATCTCTCTCTGTGTCTTATATGTAATTAGTGATGGAGGTTTTTAAGAGAACTTAATTGGACGGGGATAAAAGAATCTCCATTACTATAGATATAGTCCCAAATATAGGGCAGACCATAGAAAATGGATTCAAAATCGTCACCTAAGAAACCAAATTTAAATATCGGTCTTTAATTAGGAACATTGCCTGAGTCCCACTCTTACGGACGGGTGTAATAAATAAATATTGATCATACCACTCAGGTACGTGACCATCAATCGACAACGATCATCAACATCGACCACAGCTGAACCAGAGAGCGAGTATTCGGAAGAAGAGGAGGAAGATGAAGAAGAAATTCCGGAGCCCATCAGAGCCAGACCGGCTGAGTCGTCGGGCAGAGTGGGAACGACGGCAAAACCACTGCAGTATGTTAATATCCGGAGAGGCAGACCCACCGCCGCTACCTCAGAGCCCGCCGATGATACAGCTTCCAGGTAAGTTTCATAAATTCCTATCTTAAAATTTATATGAAAACTAGCTGGCCCGACAAACGTTGTTTTGCCATATAAATCATTTCTAGGAAAGATAAAATAAATAACCTAGATACCGACTGCAGCGCCATCTGCCGGGCTGATTTGTGAATCTAAACCAACCAGGGTGCCACCCAAACGCATACAAAATCATTCAAATCGGTCCAACCATTTACCAGGAGTTCAGTGATACAAACACACGCACAGAAGAAATACATATATGTAAAAACATTTCATAATTATTTTTAATCATCATCATCATCATCATTCCCCTGCCCTTCCCCTAGGGCACCTGGGGTCGGCGCAACATAGTTTCTCCTTCCATACTCCTCTATCGTATACCATTTCTTTGCTCACTCCCCTCTTACACATACCGTCTTTCACACAATCCATCCATTTTTTCTTAGGTCTCTTCCTCTTTGTAATTATTTTAATAGGGTTGCTTAATTGTTCCAGAAATGCTCTGTTTGAACGCCAAGAGCCGGCCGTGACGAGCTCGCCAAGTAAACTGGACGTTCTGAACGCACGTAAAGAGAACCTTCCCGAATACGTCACCATGAGACGCCAGCGACCGACCACAGAGGAGACCACGACAGTACAGTAAGTTAATGATAAATAACTAGGAACAAATCACACACAGTCATCCGGACCCAAATGAGGATTCCCTGTGTTATGGGTACCAGAGATTGGAATACATACTTATACGAGTATATACGTTTAAATATATACGTATATAGATAATAAAGACCCAGTTAAAGTGCAAAGAGTATTAAAGTGCGAAATGCAGAGAGTATTAAGCGGTAGGCACTGGCTTGGCTCTGCCCCTGGAATTGCTTACGTCCATGAGCCATGACGGTAACCACTCACCATCAGGTAGGCCGTATGCTCGTCTGGCTCTACAGAAAAAAAAAACCTGTTCATCACACGAATGCTTACCCAGTGTGGGAACCGAACCTACGACCCTAAGCGCAACACCAGGGCCGCTAACTACTGCACCATCGAGGCAGTCAAGTATATAGGTATCAATTAATTTCATAAATGAAGAAATAGAGATGATAAATATCTATTCTAATAACCTTAGTTTACAAATTCTGCTATTTCATTGGCAATTAGCTCCCGTTCGGACCGAAATTATGATCCCACGGAGTCGAAATCTCTAATACGATAGGAATAAAAACGAAAGTACTAATTCGATACCGGTAGTAGCCCGATAGTTGACCATTGACTCGTTTCACATCAAAGACTTTTAGTTTCTCACCAAATATTAATTCAATGTGACCTGCATTACCTTTATTAACTCGTGTTTGCCAGTTGACGGCTGTGCCCTGTTATTGGTAATAAAAAACCTTGATTAAGCTTTGCACAATTTTTGTAACAATAGTAATTTTTTCAGATACCAAGCTGAAGAATCAGAAGAAGATTCACGTCAAACTGCATTGGAGAGAGAAATATCTTCTCAACCACAATACAATTCTATAATTCGTACTCGCTCTACAACTTTTGCGCCAGTCGAAGAATCAACTAGTCCCATACCCTTTACATCAAGAGCTCGGTCCACAACCCTCCCTCCAGTTGAAGAACCCAGCAGTCCTGAACCCACTACAGTTCTCACTGTCCAAATATCCTCTCTGATCAATTCTCTAAACTCCGAAATCGATTACCCCGTACCTGAAACCACATTGGCCCAAGCTACTGAGCCTGCAGAAGCTCCTACGACAACAAGCACAACGGTCACTACCACCACCACAACGACAACGACAGCGGCGCCTTCGTCCATCCCACCACGTAGAACAGTTCTTAGGAGACGAGGCTCCACATCTACCACCACCACCACCACTACTGCATCAACTCCTGTGTCCTCAACTCAGGTGAGTCCAAGGAATTACGCTTTCCGCCGTCGCCGGCCGCTAGCAAGTCAAAACGAAATTTCTTCTGAAACTGAAGAAGACGTTTTGCTGTCACGTAAAATTAGGTCAACAACTCCTGACAGTCGGGAGGTAGACAGGGCTAAGGCAAACAGAGAAACTGGTAGGAGATATAGAAGTAGGTTCCAAGCACGAGCGTTGCAAAATGAAGACTCAATACCTGCTGCAGCTTCTCCTGTATCGAGTATAAACACAGACGAAGTTGCATCATTGACACCTGTTGACATAGAAACTCAAGTAGAACCTCGGAAGAGTTTCACTCCGAGGTTTGAACGTCGTTTTCGCGGTAGAACAACTGTGGCTGAAGCGATAGCAGACAGCGAAGCATCGGCAGCAACAGTGGAAGTCAGACGACCTGATTTTGCGTCCAGAGGTCGTAGCAGATTTACACTTAATTCAACCACTGAACCAGCCTCCCAAGCTTCGGCCACAAGTTCGACAGCTGGACAGAGGCGGCCCACATTTGGACGGTTAACTCCAAGGCCTTTCGCTCGGACTACTTCCACAACTGTAACGCCAGATGATGATTACAACGACGAAGTCGAACCAGTCACTTCTAAAACTCCATCACGATTAGCTTTTGGAAGAAATCGACCTTCAGCAATACCTCGAACTCCTTTAATCCAAGCTAGAAAACTACCATTCCCAACACGTCAATCAACAACGCAGAAACCTATCGATAAAGAAAACGAAGATTATGATGAAACTGAAACAAAAAATGATGACATAACTCTATCAGAAACGACTATAGAAGAAAAAGAAGTTAATGAAGAAAATACTGAAGAGACGCCAATACGAAGGGTTATCATTAAAAAAGTCAAAACTCCAGGATCTACAGATAATTCAGAAGCAATTCCTGTTGATGAGTCGGGAAGAAAACGATTTAGGATAATCCGAAGAAAACCAATAGCAACAACAACTACACCTGAAATCGATGAAGTCATAACTTCAACAGCAGCTATACCAAGGATTCGAAAGATAATTCGTAAGAAAATAAAACCAGTTGAAAAAGAACCAAAAATAGCAACAACGGCATCTATAGACGATCATACTCCAGAACCATTAGTTAACTATGGAGAGAAAACTAAAGCAACAACTGAATCAGCATTTACAAATTCGCCTACAAAACTTGAAACAGAAGGTACGCCTGAACCGATTACACTAACCGTAAATGATGAACAGATTAATCGTAACGAAGATACTGAAAATCTTAAAGATGATGAAAAAGAATTGAAAACTGAAATTGTTAAAACGAACGATACACCACAAGAAATTCCTAGAAAACCGGAAACTACAACTATAAAACCAGAAAACAAAGAGCAAGATGAAAATAGTACAAATGATTATGAAAAGGCACTTGAAATAACAAGTACAACACCTACTGTTCCTGCTGCAGAAACAAAATTAGATGAAACGGAACAAACATCTCTTTATATTTCTGGTAACGAAACCATATCTGTAGATGCCACGACTATAGCATCATCAGACTTATTAGTGGATTCCATTACCACCGTATCTGAAGAAAACCTACCAGAAACTACAACAACAAGTACAACTCTATCAACACCGTCGTCTTCGATCCGTACAAGGTTACCTTACAGACCACCTAAACGCCTATTTACATCAACAACTGCAGCAGCCACTATCGCAAGCAGTAGAATATTCAGCCGCAAGTATAACCCCGGCGTTTACACCAGCCCTTCTACAATTGAACGGGAACCGTTTAGACCATCAGGTAGAAGACCGTTCTCTTCTAAAGTTTTCACGAGGAAACCATTCACGACCGTCAGTACAACGCCGAAAGAAGAGGAATATGAGGAAGAATACACTGACGATGAAGAACTTTTGGAAGAGGAGCCTGAAAATCCATTTGCTTTCGTTCCGTCCAGTCAACTATTTACTAGGAAACCAGAGGAGGATGAAGAGGAAACTTTAGACGAAGAAGACGAATCAGAGGAAATTTTAGACGAAGAAGAAGATGTTGACGAAGCTAAACCAGTAAATGTGTTCTCGTCTACCACTAAAAGAACGCCATTCAAGCCCAGACTTATAAATTCGAATACATTCCGAACAACGACGTCAACAACTGAGCTACCCAGACCCAGTCTATTTGGTTCTTCGCAAAATCGAAGCGGTGTCTTTACTAGATTTGGAAGCCCTAAGCCTTCTAATGATACAAAAAAACGAGTACAAAATGTTCCGATCGGTTACAATAGTCCCGTCTCTAGTCCAAAGCCAAGTATCGAAGTTGCACCTAAAAACGAAAATCAACCGTCTACAGAACTATCACAAGATATTAATACTACAACAATTTCTAGTATAACAGAGACCGACTTTACCACTGACATTGACGATGATTATTTATCAGCAACAGAAACTGCGAACACTACATCGGACTTAAATAGATTCAGTGATCTCGTGACGAATGTTATGGAAAATGAAACAACGACTCAACTAATGGAAGTAATGACAGACACAGATGATTATTTAGAAGACACAACAATAATCCAAACAACTGTTCCAGAGACTACAATTACCACACAAACCGGACCTGTATATGAACCTCCTGTATTAACCAGTACTGCTAAATCAACTACTTTATCGACTACTAGCGAAATGACTCCTGAAACTGCTTCAACTGCAGCTCCTATTGTTAAGACGCAATTCGATAAATTATTCTCCATAAGCAGAGTAGTTGAGGTGTCATCCAAATTAGATAAGCACCGTGTAAATAAAAACAATGAAACAACACGGATTGAAGAAGGAAAAATTGTTGTGGAAAAACAACCAGTTGTTGACAAAATAGGGGAGGTTAGCAGATTTAGTCTTATTAAAATTGTCGAAGACGAAATACCTATTTATTTGACTAGGCTTGGTCATGTCTATCCAGTAGCAAATCCACCTGACAACCCGATCCGAATTGATGAAGCACGAAACGCCAGAGCTTTGAATTATTTCGAAATACCAAGGGAAAATCTAGTAGCTTCCGAGAGTATAAACGAAGCATATAGACATAACAAGGATATCACTGACAAAGATCGCGTGGAACATTTACAGCAAGATGACTTTCTAAGTTACGTAAATGAAGATAAAAATGACGACAAAGAACAGGACGAGACCTACACTCAATGGCAATTTGTGCCGGCTGCTTACGAAACTGAAAAACAAAAGACAGCGAAAAATTTCGAAATAGTTACACCCCGATCAATGCACACGTATCCATCAACTTTACCCTTAGAAGGGCTTTTTAAAACCGAAACACCAACTGCGAGGAAAGTAATTAATGACCCAAACCAACCGTTTGTGGTTTATTCGGCCCCAGCTGCAACTGAAGAAGACACAGTCAATATAGTTAAGCTCAAGGTTTTAAAGCCAGAGACTGGACGCAGCATTATAACGTTTGCGAAAGGTCAACAATTCAGCGGTGCGCCTACTACAGAAGAATCCACAGTAAAATATCCAATCAATATTTCGATTTTGCCCAGTCCAGAGGTTTCTACTACACCAGCAGATGTTTCCACGACGAGCACTACAACTGAATCCGTTGAAAGATTGATTACTACTAGTCCGTTAATAGATTTACTAGTCACCCAAATGGTAACCGAAGCTACTACGACAACAACCGCTCCTCCAAGTACAATCGTTTCCACAACAGATGCAACTTCAGCAACAGAAACGATCACAGAAGAAACAACAACATCGTCCGCTGTTGATATTAAAAAGGGTAAATTTGCATTTCCAAGAAGACCAATAATCAAGCCGTTGAACTTCACGAGGCCCGCTCCGAGATCGACAAAAAAAGTTAACGCAACACAATCAGACAATTCGATTCAGAAAACGAATAAGACGGCCACTTTTACGCCATTAAAATCCAGGTTTTCGTCTAGCAGAAAACAAAATGTACCAATAGACGTTAAGAAGAAAACGGGAGACATAAAACCAACAACAAGGTCATATACAACCGAAACACCAAGAGCTACAACGGAAAGGAGAGTTTTCATAAAATCTTTAAGACCCGGCTTCCAAAGACCGGCTTTTGTACCGAGAAAAACTACAGCCACAACACAGAGCAGTGGCGACACTTAAGTGGTTTTTCCATTTTACATTGTTTAAGTTTTATTGGTTACAACCAGTTTCTCTGGCCAAAGCTACCCGACTGATTTCTAAAATGATGGAATAAAAACATCTTGCAGTGTTTGGGTATCTATTCTGAATTATCCGTTATAAAATTGGATGTCTTCATTGACTTATTCCGTCAACGTTTCCATTATAGTCATTAACACTTCGAATAGCTTTAACTTAGGTATTGTTTACGATTTTTACCAAAAAAAATGTATATTCTATGAAATTTATCTAAATATTTGGTAAAATACAAGACATTATTAAAATTTGTCATAGGTTAACACTAGGGTAGAATTATTTAAAAAAAAAACATTTAATTTTACATTGTATAGTGTGTATTTAGTATTCGAAATATTGTAAATACGAGTGCAGGAATCAGGTTCATTTTTATAATGAATTATTGTAATAAAACATGGAGGTTCTGTAATAAAATTTAGCGTTTACATTTTTGTTATTTTAGTATTACGCTATTTTAGCTTATCTGCTACTTGTGTTGTTGTACCCTGTGTTTTCAATACTTAGTTTAGCTCCAAAGAAATGGCCCTTGAAATTGGATAACTAAGGTAAGTACTAAGATAAGTAATACTCGTAGGTTTAATTCAAGCGTCGACACAAACTTGACTTTTCGAATCCATTAAAAATTCTCTTACATCGGCGCAGCGATCTCTGTTGTCGAATGATAAAAATCTGGCTAAAAATTCGAATGTAATCTTTTTACAATAAAAAAAATTTGCTTTAAGATGTGACTCTTAGGAGATTCTAAAGATTTTTTAGGTATCATTGAAGTATATTTTGTTTTTACATATAATCTCACATACAAATCAATTCAATACAAAATTCTTTATTTAAATTGAATCTGTAACATCCAAATAAACTCAATCATCGCCTAACAAAAAGAAAGACAGACCCGAAAGGAACTCTAAAAAAACCTAGATGATTCGTTTAGGTGCTTTTACCAAATGCCAAACCTCTTTAAACTTTATCTTACTTACGACAAACTAATAAGACATATTATACGTAAGCCAATTTGTAGGACTCAACTAAAAGTGTAAAATACTATAATTTGTCGCTAACGTTTCCCGTGTCAATTAATATTGCAATGTCGAAGTGGAAAATCTGGGAAAGATTTCCCAACTGAAACAATAGTGGATAGTACTAATAAGCGTCACCAAGACCGTAACGACAGCTTCTTCGTAGAATAGAAAGAATTAACGACACCCTGTATAAATGCGACTGTCTTTTATGATTAAATTAGCCGCCCACTCCGGCTCCGTTCGGGTCTTTAACAAAAATTTCAGCGATATTTGACGTTGTTTTATTTTTTTAAATAAAAGAACACAAGACTTATTGCGGCATAACTATAATAGTTAGAAATATGCTGTCGCGATACTTTTTGTGATTAATAATGTGTTCTACAAAGTCGTAGTACATTATTTTATTCTATCGTGAATAGTTTTCGCAGGGCACGCGATGTAAAGAATATTTTAGGTATTTTTTTACACCTTGGGTTACATTATTAGAGTTTTAGTAGGGATCCCTAATTTTTTAAAAAAAATATTGTAGCCTATGTCACTCGGGAATAGTGTAGCTTCCAAACAGTGAAAGAATTTTTCAAATCGGTTCAGTAGTTTCGGAGCCTATTCAATACAAACAAATCTTTCCTCTTTATAATATTAGTATAGAATGATAATTTTAGACGACATCTACCTAGATCAATATGTTTGCATAATCCTGTCCACCGCAAATGTCGCAAGCTTCGTGCGAGCGGTGAACGAAGAAGATTTCAAACTTAGGGCCTTCACTTAAAAGGTAGACTGGCCTGCAGAATCTCTGATACCAAATAAGATCAAACAGTTACCGGTGGTCGCACGTTTTCTGAGCCCACGCGTGTAGTTATCTATATATGGTTCAAGGTTTTATAGTTTTACAACTAAGACAACTGGTTCTTATCAAAAAAAAAACATCACGATCATTTGTTTATGAAGTTAAAGGTTTTTTTTGTCTAACCTAAAAAGTTTTTATAAGATATCACATAATCTAAATACTAGTTTCTTAACTTGCTTTAGCAAACAGATTTATACCGTACGGTGCGCGAATCCATTGAAATAAACAAAATACTAACTTTATTAGAGAACTAGCGACCCGCCCTCGCTTCGCTTCGGAAACATTAAAACACACATGAAACCAAAAAAAAAAAGTAGCCTATGTTCATCAGGGACAATGTCGGCTTCTAATGGAAAAAGAATTTTTCAAATCGGTCCAGTAGTTTCGGAGCCTATTCGAAACAAACAAACAAACAAATCTTTCCTCTTTATAATATTAGTATAGATATTGTTCTGATTGTTTACCACATCGTGAAAAAGAAGATCCAATTAAAACACACTGACGGACCTCAAGGTCATATTAATTCGTTTTAGGTGAAATGAGATAGAAGACTAGAATTTTTTTTTTTTAAAAGTAGACGACATATCAGGTGTCCTTCGCAGTAAAACAGTAAAGTATTTGTAATTTGCAATAATTTATTAACAATAAAAACGTTAAATTTAATCGTAAAACTATTTTCAAACACATATTATGTATGTGTTTCGTTATTCGCGAGTCTATGGCTCGCGAATACTGGAGATGGTACTAAACTTATTAAAGTTTTTAGAAACTATATTCATTTAAAGCAGTCTTTCCCAAAGTGGGCGATAACGCCCCCCTGTGGGCGCTGTAGACCTAAAGGGGCGGTAAGAGACCCCGAAAAATAATGGGGGCATTGTCTAGAGGATCCGGAGGCGATTTGTAATGTAATTTAGGAGAACTCTTTCTTAACTGAGCTCTCGCTGGTTTTTCAGTAGATGAAAAATGGGGGCGATAAAAATGAATTTACTCTCAAAGTGGGCAGTAGACAAAATAAGTTTGGGAGCCCCTGATTTAAAACAATACTCGATAAATGGCATGCTTAGTAATTTTTTTAAAATAAGTGTTAAAGTTGCTTGGTTTATATTAAATACATTTGCAGGCAATAAGTTAACTTCACGCCAGAGAACTGGCCGACAACACGACTTTCTATAAACAACTCTTTCTCAAGCTAATCAACATTATAAAGTTTATTAGTGTCATAAAATCATTAATTGACAGCGTCTGAACAATCGAAGTTTTTGTGAAAAACGGTGGGAATGCAAGACGCTTGTATAAGCCGATTGTCGCATTCATAATTTATAATCAGCGTTGACTATTGTTAGGATAAAATAACAACATAAAAAAAATATGCAAAAATCAAAAACTTATTTTACTCTTTGTGGTTTTACTTACATTAAACATGGAGTTCTTTGACTATTAAATATAAAATCTATTTATTGATACGAGTAATTAATTTAATTTTAATTTCGTATGAATAATTATAAAGCATTCAATTTAAAATCAAAATAAGAGATTAAGAACTGGTTCGGGAGCGTATTGCGTTCAGGATATAAATATACTCGCCAGTAGTATCGTGGAGTTTACCAGATGGATACATAGACAGATATTTTGATAGATACGACAGTCAATTTCGGTCCCAAGGCATAGGCATCAGCATAGGCATAGGCATTCAGGCGATGCTCATTGACTCCCGTAACGTTTATAATTGGTAGAGCGTCTTTGCTCTTGCTAGGGCTGGTGTTGGCAAATTCTCTCACGTTGAGCCCGTGAACTCACCAACCCGTCCGGGCTTAGCTGTAATAGCCTCTAAGGTAGGGACAAAAGAGATCGTCTTGTGAGTCCGCACGAGTAGGTACCACCACCCTACCTATACACGCCTTTTGATTTGAAGAATGGGCATGGTACTGTAATAACTGAGACTTACAGCTCATGCGTTTACATTGTCAATGTCTATGGATTCTATAACCATTTAACATAAAGTGGGCCGTTAACTTGTCCACCTGTGAGTAAGAAAAACAACCCTAAACAGCGGGTGAAGCCACAGTCAGTCACTAGTGTACTGCCCAACTAAAATCCGAACAAGGGATATGCTAACAGAATCTGCTAACTTAACTTTCGGTTCAACGACTAATCGACCTAGTTATATAGAGCGCACACGTGTTACAGTATGAATACAGCCACAAGAATAGCCCTTCACTTTATGAATTCTAGCCTCAACCAAAGTGGTGTGTTATATTATTCGATTATTACATGGATCTTAAAAGACGGCTTACAATTATATATTATGTACAATTTTTTTCTTTCTACCTATGATGATAGCCTTGAGAAGCTATTTTAGCTTGACGTGTAGGTGAGCTCACGGGGCTCAAACCGGGTGTGTTGCTAACACTGGCCCTAGCAAGAGCAGTGCTTCGCGGAATCTACCAGTGGATCGGAAACGCGACCCACTGAGAAAATCCGGCGAGGAACTCAGTGGGGTCTATGGGTTAATTCACTCGTCGAGCCCTTCCTCGCAAGCGATGGGTTCGACGAGGACGGTGACCGGGTGTATATATAATTATAAGCCATGTATGTATACATATGTTTATTATTTATTCCACATTCTTTTCTCGATCAGTCAAAATTATTAATTATTGTCGTTTTCATAATTATTATTATTATTATGATTTTATCGGAAGGGCGTCTTGTGAGTCCGTACGGGTAGGTACCACCGCCGAGCCTGTTTCTGCCGTGAAGCAGTAATGCTTTTCGGTTTGAAGGGTGGGGCAACCGTTGTAACTATGCTGAGACCTTAGAACGCATATCTCAAGGTGGGTGTCGACATTTACCTTGTTGATATCTAAGGACTAGGGTAACCACTTAAAACCAGGTGGGTGGTGAGCTCGTCGACCCATCGATGCAGCAAAATAATTAGTAGAAGAAATTTTAATTGCCTATAATTTTAGGAATTCACAACATCAGGTATCAATAGAATCGAAAGACAAATTCTATCCACCTTGGTAGAATCTGGAAAGGTACTTTGACTGAAATATGCTAGAAGTACTAAACTGTGTTGCAATACACTGTGAGATTATACCATCTCTTTCGATTAGGGTTGGCGAAATCGTTTTGGAACAATAATATTAAAAACAAAAAACATAATTATTTCAGAATTTATAATTATTAGAAATATGTAGTGACTAGACTTTGTCCTAGTCTCTATATTAATTCAATACAATTAGCGTATTATATTATATTATTATCTTATTGATTTTATTGATTACATATTGTACGTACATACATATATGTATCCTTAAAATATTAGATTCTATAAATTTTAGAAAAAAAAAGAAACGAAATAATTCATCTGACAATTAAAA